ACATTTTCATATCATAATTAATTTTGACTTATCATTATAAAAATCATAACTTGACTCTTTCATACCCGAAATCACCCATATTTAAAATATATATATCATGTTCCAAAATGAATTCAAATAAAATTTCTGAAATCATTAAAGAAATATTTATCACTAAAGTTATAGATCATTCTTTAAAATTATATTTGAAAATTCATTCGAATATATTTTCAGAAAATATCATATTCGAAAATTCATTCGAATGTATTTTCAGAAAATATCATATAAAAACATATAGGGTAGTCGGGTAGTCATACCAAAAAATCATTCATAAATTTCTATATAAGCATTATGGAAATAATCTATATTTATAATTAAATCATACTTAAAAATTCATACTTTAAAATAATAATATGAAGTTGACTTATCACAATTCTTCGTCAATCAGAATAAATAATTAAATAAATTGTACTCGCCTTTGCCTCACTATTGAAACTTTAATATGATACTCTTTTACTTAAGAACTTTGAGTTTTGCTTTCGAGTCACGGGAATCACAAGATTTGTCATAATTTGTACGACATCATATACATAATACCATTCCAAACGGTATGTTAGCATTCTACTAACACAATCTAATTTTGATAAAATAAATTCTATAAAACATAATTGGTACTAAATTGGAATAAAATTAAATCATATTTCCATCATAATTTCAAACTTCTCAGAACACTCATTCGATTCTATAAATATTTATTTTCATCATCAACCCTCCAACTTTTACCAACTTGCTTTCAATTTGCTAATTATGAATTCTTCTTAGAATTCATATCAACCTTTTCATTTAATTCTTAGTGATCGATCACCATTATGATCATTTCACATAAGTTACTAAAATTTCCAGCACATTAATAATATACTCAATTCAATACTTTAACATTTCAAAGGGTATAAATTATATCATAATCTACAAACCCTTTAAACGTTTTTCACCATCTTTTTAAATGGATTCAATTTAGTCAATTTTTATATTAATTTCAACATAACATTTTATAATTATTTCAATTTAATCCCTCATCCTTGCATGTTGTTTAATTTATTTAAATTTTTGTTTGTAATTTCATGTTGTTTTGATTTTTGATTTATCTGTTTACGAACGGATATGTTTTACTTGGGGTAATGTTGAAGGAAGTATACTTGGAGGCTCCTCGGCTGTGTGCTCAGGGCCTTACTGGACGTGACGGGGTTGTATGGTTCTGGGGAACCTACACATTTTGTACGTGATGGATGGGGGTATATATATATGTGTGTGTTTTAAAAGATCTGTATCTTTCTACTGGTTTTACACAAACACACTAGATAACCTATTCTGATCTCCTGAACTCAGTCATCCGAAATATTTCTCTGAACTGAAAGCTCATTGTCCGTTACCCCTGAAATATCAGTAAGATCTCCACTCAGCATAAAAATCTATAGATGTTCGGAACCAACAAGGAAATATATGTTTGTCTGTATCTGCATGTTCTTCAGCATCATCTGGTAGTTCTGTATTACTGAGCTTTCCAAAACTCACTCTATTAATCACCATTGCAGGTTAAAAGAATTGTCCCAGTGCAGCTATCGACTTCAGTAAGGAAGTTCTTCCGGCGTTGTTTGCAGAGGATGGTACATATAATTAGGGGGCATGTAATTGTATTTTGTTTTATATATACGAGTATGAAAATCTTTTTTATTTATTGATACTGATAAATCATTTTATAATTTACATGTTCTGATAAAAAGTTTTAAATTTTCCGCTATTTTTACGGTGGGTCGCTCCGGTGGCCCTAATGTGACACTCCAAATCGGATCGGGTTACCCACATCGGTCTTAGGGGGTTACATTTTAGTTCATGCCCAAGTTTAAAACTAATTGTTGATATACATATTCATTCTATATATTTTTCAAGTGTAGTTGAAGAATTTATTTGGTGATCTAAATACGTTTATTGAAGAGATATTATAAGATTAGAGACTCTAGTGTTAACGGTCAATAGTTGAACTCTTTTATTTTAGAAATAAAATTATAAAAGATCAAAATATCTAGGAGTGGATCAAGACTACATAATGCCATTTGAGACAATACACCCATAATACAATGTTCTTGTAATTTATAAGTGTTAATCATACCTTTTCATTGACCAAATTGAGATATATAATTACGAATTAAGACAAGGAAAAAAATAAAAGAATAATGAAAAATACTTAAGATAAGAAAAATTAAAAAAATGCATTAGAAACATAGAATAAAAGGGTACACTTTATATATTTGATAGGCATAAGAGTAAACAATAGTACCCTGTTTATATAGTCACTTCAAGATACAATGTGATCAAATAACAAGTTTAATTATAAAAGCTCAAATCCTTTTAGTTATGCTTGCAAGTCTTATAGCAGGAATCAACAATGTTGTTAATTTTTCCAACATCTGTATCATAAAAAAAACTCAAATAAGAAGCATAATTGATGCACATATAACATGATTTTTTATCATAACTAAGTAGAAAAATATTTTAGTGTGCTTATAGGAATGTAGATAAATGCCAGTGGGTTTGTAAGTGTTGATTATGGAGTTTGCACAATCTGTGGTACAGTCCTTGACAATGGCTGGAGGGAGAGCCTTGCATGATAAAATACAAAGAGACATACAAGTAGCAATGCGTACAGGAATGAGAAGAGAAACACAAGGAAAAATACACTTTTTAGCACATGCACCTATCCCTTCTTTTACATCAATGTCTAATTCATCAGTTGCTTGCACTAAAGCTGTTAGCGAAGCCAACATCATCAACACGATCAAGCTCGTCGCCATCAATTTCTTTGCAGCCATAACTATTTTCCACAATGTTCTGTCTTTTCGTGTTATCTTTTTTCTTTTCTATGGTGATATTTTGAGGATCGCTAAAGTTTGTATTTATAAGGCTAAAGTTGTGAAACACTTTATTCATAAAAGGCAAAGAATGCTTGAAAAGATTAGTTAATCCGAGAATATTTTGATTTCATATCTTTTACAAAAAAAGTTTCATATATTATCTTTAAAATCATTCTAAGATGGAACTTTTATCCTTAATGTTTTTTTCTAAAAAAACATCATAATATATAAGTTATCAAAAAATTAAAATTTATTATTTTTTACTTATATTTTTATATTAGTTTATTGCAGTTTAACAAAAATAAATTAAATTATTATTTGAATCGTCTTGTTATTTTAACTTTTATTTTTTAAAAATAATATTTAAATTAATTTTTAATGTAAAACATAGAGATAACACAAATACATGAATTTAATTTTGAAAAATTAAGACTGAAATAAAACTTTCAGTTTTTTCGCTTGGTTAATTTATTTAATTATGTTGATATATTGTTTATTTATTGAGAAGTAAAAGATATTATAACTTTATTTTACATATTTCTAAATTTAATAATATAAAAATCATACAATTTCTTAATAAGAAGATATTAATAAAAGCATATTAAGACTCTAGGTTAAATAATATAATTTACTTTTTATTATTTATTTTATGATAATCATTTAATTTTACGTTAACTATGCATTAATCACCCGAAAATAGTGTCAGTGATAAGAACATCTGAAATACAATCGGGATAAGCATATTTAAAATAAAAAGGCTTAATTGAAATAGAAACATGAGACGCTAGTAAATAAGTAGCGTCATTCGCTTCTCGATGAAAATTCAGATAGAAACATGAAGGTTAGAATCAAACAGTTGACTAGCTTCCATCAGGTAGAAACAGAGGATCGAGCCATCAGTGGCAGGATTCTCTGTTATGACACAAAGGCAAACAATGTTAAAGCAATACACAACCACCATGGCCAAGTCGGCAGCACGTGATCGGGTTTAGTTGGTTAGCTAGTTATTATACATGCAAAAGAGGGTAGAGGAAAAGGGTATGCAAAATGTGATAATTTGTTACCCTCTCTTCTCCCTAATTTTCTCTTCTAGACTTATCTTCTATTTATTCTCTTTTCTTCTCTTGTTCTTCATTGAAATCAGCTTGAGTATCTTCAATTCATATCAGTGTGTTCTTGAGTTCATAATATTCTCCAACACCACATTCAAATAATCACTTTCGATAATCACTCATGAAAACTCCATTTCAATGGCCATACAAATCCCATAACATAGCGCATGTGCTTCAATGAGTCCATTGTTCCGAAAGCATGAGATTGGAACGGACGACCAGCAACCGCACTACCCTTATAATAATAAGCAACACTAATAATATAAAGCAAAACCAAACAAAATTTTGGAGACAACTCAACAGAATTCAATTGAGACTTTAGGGGCTGTAGAAGAAGAGTATAACAAGGCCAAGGAATCGACATCCCAAATGCTTAAAACCGTATCCAAGTACACCAAAGATCAACAAGAAAGAGAAATTACTCGTTAAAGCGCTCAGTCTGCGGTGGAGATGGGTGGATAACCGTTAGTTCGGTGATTTTTATGATTTATATGAAAAACCCAATTTTTTATTGATTTCCCATATGAAGGAGATGGGTGGACAACAAGAAAGGGAAACTAATGGGAGGTAACTTAAGGGACATTAGTGAAAAAAATGAAAGTTCGGTGACTCTATTGTAAGTTTTAAAAGTTGGGTGACCAAAATGAAAGCTCCCAAAAATTTGTATGACCATTTATGTAGTCTACCCTTAATAAATATGAAGGGATTATCTCATTAGTTTCTCATTGTTAAGACAATATTTGAAAATTATAGGCCGGTTAGTATCTCGGAGCAATTTGCAAGTTGAAGTAGAAGAGGTAAGCCTAAACCTAACCAAACCCATATATGCCTGTTTGCCGTGTTTTCCATTTGGCCATTCATCCGCCTTTTTTGTCAAGCGTTTTAGCCAAGTGGTGATGAAATGTTTCTTATTTGTTGTATGTCTTTCTTCTGGAATTTATTTACAGACAGTGGAAGGCTAATTCATCTGTTTTGTTTGCGTAATTCGATCCATAGTATATTATGGGGAAGAGCTCCATGTCTTTTCTGAGCTCTCTTCTTCTGTTTCTGTAACTTCTGCTGCTGCTGCTGAAAGAGTCGATCGCGTTGGTGAATATTCATCTTCTGTTGAAACGAATGATTGCACTCGTGAATATTCTTCTTCTTCATCTTCTTCCCCTGTTGAGAATGATGATGATTGCCGCGGTGAGTCTTCTTCTTCTTCTTCCTCTGAAAGTCCTGATAGCAGCGGTGAATATTCTTCGTCTTCTTCTGTTGAAGCTGCTGATTGTAATGGTGAATCATCACCACCAGCACCACCATCTTCTTCTTCTTCTGAAAATGGTGATTCCATCGGTGAATCTTCTTCTTCTTCATCCTCTCCACCACCATCCTCATCATCATCATCACAATCTTCTTCTTCTTCTGTCGAAATTGAAGTTGATGATTGCAATGGTGAATCCCCACCACCATCTTCTTGTTCTTCTTCTTCTTCCGAAAATGGTGATTCCATCGGTGAATCTTCTTCTTCATTATCCTCTCCACCACCATGCTCATCATCATCATCATAATATTCTTCTTCTGTTGAAGTTGAAGTTGATGATTGCAATGGTGAATCACCACCACCATCTTCTTCTTCTGAAAATGGTGATTCCACCAGTGAATCTTCTTCTTCATCATCCTCTCCACCACCATCCTCCCCCTCCTCATCATCATCATAATCTTCTTCTTCTGTTGAAGATGACTGCAATGGTGAATCACCACCACCATCAACTTCTTCTTCTTCTTCCTCTGAAAGTGGTGATTCCACTGATGAATCTTCTTCTTCTTCTTTTTCTTCTTCTTCTACGGTTGAAAATGACAATGACCTTGGCGAATGTCTCTCTTCACCATCTTCTTCCTGCGTTGAAACCAACGATTGAATGAGTGGATTTTCTTCTGCATCATCTTCCACTGCTGAAAATGAGTATCTCTCTTCTGATAATGACAAAGACGGTTCTTGCAGTGTAGACTCTTTTTCAGCTGTCTCCTGTTCTACATCTGTACCGACCTCCCCATCCTGTATGTCAATGGTTTTCACCACCAAAGAATCATCGCTCTCATTCTCAAGCACGTTCATTACACCATGCTCAGTTTCTGGTCGAGAACTCTCCTCAACATCACCGTAACCACCAGTTACTCCAATTATTTCTTGCTCTCTATCATTTATTGTAACCTCCAGGATAACAATATCTGATATACCATTGTTTGTGGAACTGCAAATAAATGATCATCCAAATTACATTATTTACAAAAGAAACAGGCAAACGATACGCAACAGTTCATATAATCATACAATCAAGAGTTTCGCATGTAGAACTCGGTGAAACCATATATATCTAGAGTCGAATTTTACTATATGAAATACTCACCGCGAATTTTGATGCAGCCTTTCCGCTCCATCATCTGCCAAATTGATTCTCTCCGTAAAGAACTTGTAATCTTTCCCTACCAGGTTTGCAATAGCCAAGGCTCCACCCAACACAGCAACCCTTTTCATGCTGCTGGTACCAGCATCATCCCACTTGCACTTCTCCATATTTAATTTCTTGAAGACTAATTGGTTCAATATTTCTGGTGTTGTATTCTTGGCTTTAATCTCTGGCAAAGGGATACTATTCTTGAAGAGGGGAAGATGGGAGCTTGAAGCAGAGATTATTTCATTGAGAGGCTATGTAGCATCTTAGTTTGCTTCACGCCTGCCCCTCTGCTGAGATTCCGTAGTTTTCACCTTTTAGTACGATACGTAACCCAAGCGAATGACGGTGGTTTAAGTTATCATCAAAGAAGGACATTACTAGAATGCGGTACAACAGATGTGGTCAACCGGATCCTAATTCTTGCTTTTGGGTTCTCGTAGTACCAAACATAAAAGGTCTTAATAATAACACTTCTGAACATAATATTTCTTTTGATACAACTGTTTAACATAATATTAAATTGTGGTAATATTTTTTAAGTTTAATGCAGCATCGCAAACAGTATTTACAACATGAAATTATAGTTATTTTTAGAAAATAAATCATATAATAATATTCGTGCCGATGACATCACAAACGCAATTTAGTACTCGAATTCTCAATGTAATCTTGGTTAGCTGCAACTGTTACGTCTACTTCCAACTGATTAACATTTTCAAAATTTTGATGATGCAGTTTCAATCCGTGTTGCACTGATACGGAGACGGGGATGGAGATGGGAAACGACCATTTTTAAAATTAAAGGGTATGAGGACGGTAAGGGTATTTCATATAAAAAATTTAAAATTATAAATAGATGTAAAAAATCATTAATGTCAATACGTCATATAAAATTGGTGTAACACCCTAATTTAACCCTACTTAAAATCCTAACATTTGAGAATTTTTTTTTCCAAATCCCTAAATTAATTTTAGTATCCAATTTGAAAATACTGCAAAACTTGTTGCCAGATTCAAAAGCCCTAGAAAGTTTAGGGATCAACTGGAAATTATACCAAAAATTCTTTAAATCCTATTCTAACTCATCTTTCTCCCTGCGGCCCGCTTCTTATTCCTTTTATTTCTTTTCTTCCTTTTCACAAAACCTTGGGTCGATTCTCCTGCCACCAACTTGCAGTTTCTCTGAGCCTTTGAAGACACTTTTCTTCTTGCTTTAACCATGTGTGGCTTTTGAGACTGTGGTCTCTTTCTCAGTGAAAGAAGGGACTTTAGACTTCTCAGTAAACTTGGAGATTTGACTCTTCTTTGATGTCTCCTTCAAGCTTGGCTTACCCGAGTTTGAACTTCCATGAAAGACACGGGTTGAAGCTATCCGTTATCAGTTGGTCTTCTATATGATCGAAGGAAAAGGTCGGCTGTGATGTCTCAACAGCGGTTACAGTTACACCGTCATGTGGTGAAGAATCCATCAATGGTGGCAAATCATGTTCATGCAAAATCGATCTCTTAAACCCAAAATTACCCTGGGGACATCCTCGAAACGTTCTCTGATAAGCTTTGACCGTCCCCGAATTCAATCAACCATGTACCACCATGGCACGTCTTCGGTATGTACCTTCGTTGTTCTGTGCTTCATAGGTTTCAGTTACCCAATAATATATTGGTGAACGAGATGAATAGTTGGAAAAGTAATGGAAAACAACATCTCAGTTAATAGTATAAAAATTATAATATTAGGTTTATTGATTCACAAAATATAAAATTATTTCAATTATGAAAATCTTATGAAAATTATATTAAATCTTACATTTGATTTTCATAATTAAAATAATTTTTATGTAAGATTGTAACATCCCAAACTTCGGGTCAGTGACTAAAGTGTAAAGATTGAAAATTTAGTGGTTTAATTTTGATAAATTGAAAAGTTCAAGGACTGATTTGGGAATTTTTGTGTAGGATTTATTGTCAAAGATGCAAAAATAGAAGGGCATAATGGTATTTTAGCATAAAGGAGGTTAAAATATCTTTTACTAAGGCTTTATAATTGGGATTAAAAAAAAGAAAGAAAGGAAAAGTCTGGAAGTTTTCTCTTCTCTTCTTCGCCTCTTCCTCGTGAAATTCCATGCTAAGGTGAGTTACCTTTCAAGTTGGTTTTTCTTTCGTTTTGAGTTGGGTTTTAATACTTGGGTGGTATAGAAACTTAAGGAAGCTTAAAGATAATTAGAAGCTTAAAGATAATTAGAAGCTTAAAGATAATTAGAAGCTTAAAGATAATTAGAAGCTAAAGGAATTAGGAGTTAATGGTCATTTAGTAAAATAAGTTTTAAGAGAATGACAACTGCCGTTTTGATGTCAAAATAAATTCTTTCTTATCAATTAATAAATAAAGGAAATACGTAGTAAAAAGAAGTAAGGGTCGATTCCACAGGGAATTAGAAAATTCTGAATTTCTGTCTAAATTGTTTATACCAGGAGTGATACAGTAAATAAAGGGGTTTTGGTAAAAAGAGATTAAATAGTAAAAAGAGATTAAATGAATAAAGACAACTTAACGTAAAAATAAGAAAATAAAGAATGTAAAGTTAATACGGTAAAAATAGCCTTAAACCTCGCTTTGACTCAATTTCCTTCAGATCATCGAATTAGATTTTCCCTTTGGGATTCACGTCGGTTACTTTGTCTACAAGGGCAATCCTCGTGACTCTATTTTGTATAATAAATACCCAAGGAAATCTTTGAATTCGGCTTTAGAAACTGATCTGATCAACATCAATTGGCGTAGACCAATTATCGTTTAAGTTCGTTAAAACCGACTCAGATTGTTGCTTCAATAACTACCAATTCTGATCTCAATTCCCTCTTGGTAAGGCTATCTCGCCAAGTGTGTTCCCAGGAAGTCGAATGTGCTTTCAATAAGCTAATCCTTCCTCCCACACATTTAATCGCAACAACCTCTTGACCAAAGTCAATCTTTGATTTTGAAAACTGTTTTGATTTTGAAAATAAGAGCAGAGATTGAGAGAGATATTCCGAAGTTATTAAGGACATTTTTCAATTCTCTCGTTGGAATTGAGTCATCGCTTCAGCTCTTGGCTTATGAGAAAATTAGCTAAGCGTGACAAAAGTCATACTTAGCATATTTAAAAACAAAGCTTAAAAATAAAGAAAAAATCGAAAACATGAAAAACAATATAAAAGAGAGAATTTTTATAAAACTATAAAGGAGAAAAAGATTGTAATATGAGTTGTATGTTTAGGCTTACCCCAAGAGGGTATTTACAACCTCTAAAAATCTAGAGATAAACAAAGAAATAAAAATAAAAATAATCCTAAAGATAATTGTTTTTCTTCTAATTCAAACTTTAAATTAAGTCTCCTAATGCAACTCTACTCGTCCATCTTCCAGAAGGCGTGCTAACTAGATCTTCTAGAAATTGTCATTGACTGGACCTTCTAGAAACTGCCACGTTAGACTATGTCATGCCCAAAGTCGTGCCCATGTCTCCAGCCGTGACTGAATAATAATAAAAAATGCAGAATGCGCCCGTTTTACCACTAAGTCTGGAAAGTAAGATCTTGCACGAAAACAAGCATAACACAACCAAATCAGCAGCAATAAATCCATAAGATCGAATAATTAACGAGCAAATACTACAGATTCTGAACACTCATCAGAGAATTGATTGAAATTGGTTGTATTTGGATTTTTAAAGATATATTTGACTTGTCAAGGGTTTAATTAAGGGATTAAAAGTGTTAGGAAGGATTAAAAACATGTTTGAAAAAATGATATGATTTTTAGTTCCAAGAGTTATATGGTAGAGTTTTTATGTTAAAGGGGTTTTAATAGAGATAAGTTAGTGGGAATAAGTGTAAATGAGTTTGAAGTTATAAATAGAGTTAAGGTTAAATTGCAAGAAATAGTATGAACTGGATGAATAGTATCGATACCGATTAAATTAGTATCGATATTGAGGTGGTGATATCGATTCCAAGATGAATGTATCGATACTGTATCTAAAATCAAAATTCTAGAATGCCAAAATGGTATCGGTACTGAGGGGGTATCAGTACTATGAGGGAGAAGTATCGATACTATAGAAGGGGTACCGATACTATTAAGTCTGAAACTTGAAATTCTAAAGTCTTTCATTCCATTTATGTAGTGTTAATCGATTAAATGTTAGCAGAGATTGGTATTGGTATGGGAAATTTCTATATGTAGATTTAGATCGCAACGGTACTAAAGGAATCGACATAGTACGAGATTAAAAGAAAAGGATTTCGTTTAGAAATTATGTGAGGCAAAGGTGAGTGATATTTACTTATTATATTTATGATTGGAGAATAGCTTGTGATGAGCCTATCTCAAATGTTCTTGACCAAAGTAAAATGTTATGAGTATATGTTATTATGTTATATGGGAATATGCTTTATACGATTAAATTGATAAGTGGAATATGATATGTAATATGAAATAAGTACGAACCATGAGTATATGATAAATATTGAATAAATGTTATGAGAACAAGTTCTATGTGAATAAATGATAGACCTGGATAATGTTTCATAAAATTGTTCTACGTGAAAAGTGTTATATCTGAAAACGTTATATATATATGATAATGTGCTAAGTGAAAAGGTTCTACGTGAATGTGATAAGTGAACAAATTCTACGCAAAGATACCCTTTGTGAACGAACACTACGAGAATAAGACACACTTTAAATAATAAAAATAAAAATAATTATAAGTTAAAGCCCAAGGTATATGTATGAGAATTAGAGGTATAGTTGGCATGCCAAGAGTCGAGGGTTCTATGCTGTCATTCGGAACAAAACTATGTGGCACTTCGATGCAACTCTACGTGGCACTTCGGTGCAAATTATGTGAGTTGTGGTGACAGCATTAGTGTACAACCTCAATGTACTCACATACCTTGAGTTCTCAGTGATATAAGTTGGGCCAATTAAACAAATGGATATTAAATGAAAAGTGTATAAGTTATATGTAGTTTATAAGAAATTAAAAATTATTATGAAAGTGTACATTGTCTAAAAGTCTATATTGTTAATAATATGAAATGTATAATCAAGAATAAAATGAGTATAAATTTATTA